TGGGGAGAGATAGCAAGGGGAGAAATGCCAGATGTAGGTGATGGGGAGGAAGGCAGCAAATCACACTGCCACGTGTGTTCCTATGCAACAATTTTGCATGTTCTTCACATGTACCCCAAAACCTAAAATGCAATAAAATAAATGGGAAAAAAAAATAAAAAAAAATAAAAAAAAAATAAAACTAAAATAAATAAATAAATAAATAAATAAAATGTTTATATGATTCTATTGATTGTTTATAGCACTTAATATTTTTGTATTATGAGATAACTTTTGCAGAAGATAGTTCTATTAAGATGAAATTTTACTTACTCTATAGGTGATTGGGAGCACTGGAATAAGAAACTTCAGCCGTATTATTATCCAACTGACAGTGTTCCAGAATATGCATCAATTTTGGTTCCAAATGTTGACAATGTTAGAACAAATTTTTTGATAGACACCATTGCAAAACAACATAAAGTAAGTTTAATAGATAGTTGCTTAAATGATCACAAACCACATAAGAAACACAACCCTTTTCACACACTACAGATAGAAAAATCAAATTTCAACTCAAGGGCCTGTAGGTAGTGTCATTTGAGGGAAACACCAAGGAGACACTCCAACTCGGTAGCCTCTGTACTGCTGACTCCAGATTGCTAAGGAAAGTGGGTGTCTGCTTACAATGTCTCTTTCATATTCCCGAGGCCATGGGAATAGGCAACCATATTTTCTTCCAGCACTTTTATCGTACATGTTTTACGCTTAAATCTGTAATACAACTGGGACTTATTTTGATGTAGATGTAATTCTAAAAAGTTATTAAAAATTAGTTATGTTAATTTATAGAAGACTACCTTAGAATCATAAGATACTTGAAACTCAACATGTAACACATTTCAACACGGTTATCCTATGATTGCAGGCTGTTTTGCTCACAGGAGAGCAGGGGACTGCAAAAACTGTCATGGTTAAGGCCTATTTGAAAAAATATGATCCTGAAATACAGCTATCTAAAAGTTTAAACTTTTCATCTGCCACAGAACCAATGATGTTTCAGGTAAAATCTATCTTTTGCTGTAATATTATCAACATAATACATTTTAAATTGGTGGTTACAATAAAATGTGTACACATATAAAATGTAACAATATTATATATTCAAAAGAAATCGTGCTGCACTCGGCATTCAGCTATTTAGCTTTCCTAAGGCTAAGGTTGAAGCCAAATCCAAATAGCGTAGTTTGACCTAATATTGAGACTGGAGCTGAATGTTGGAGCATATCTATTGTAATGTAAATGAAGGATAACACTCCAATGCCTTATTTTTTAAAAACTTAACAACATATATTTTAATAATTATATGTATACTTATTAAATACATAAGTAAATTATATTCTACTTTGACAAGAATACTCAATATTTTTAGAAATTTGGATTAAAATCTAACACATAAGACAAACCATTTCCTTCTCTCTAGAGAACAATTGAAAGCTATGTGGATAAGCGGATGGGAAGCACATATGGGCCTCCAGGAGGGAGAAAAATGACTGTATTTATTGATGATATTAATATGCCTGTGATTAATGAGTGGGGAGATCAGGTATGACTGAAATATCTTATACAGATGATCTTGAGTTAGTATTTTTATGTATATATATATATATAAATGTTAATAACTTGGTTGAAAACATCATGTTTTTAAGTATACTGTCAATCCTCAGTCTTTTTTTCACTTTTCTGTTATAGCTGACTTTCTCCCTTCTTGAAATCTCTGCATGCTTTTTTTTTTTTTTTTGAGACAGAGTCTTGCTCTGTTGTCCAGGCTCAAGTGCAGTGGCATGATCTTATCTCTCTGCAACCTCTGTCTCCCGGGCTCAAGCAGTTTTCCCTGCTTCAGCCTTCCGAGTACCTGGGATCACAGGCGCCCACCACCACGCCTGGCTAATTTTTGTATTTTTAGTAGAGACAGGGTTTCATCATGTTGGCCAGGCTGGTCTTGAACTCCTGACTTCAGGTGATCCTCCCGCCTGGGCATCCCAAAGTGCTGGGATTTCAGGCGTGAGCCACCATGCTCAGCTCCTACGTGGTTTTCTGTAACAAATGCCTCCTGTCTCTTTGGCTACTTGACTTCAGTATCTTTTCTTAGCTCCTCTCTTCTGCCTTTCCCTAGGGTTTTATCATTACTCTAACCTCTTCCTCTGCATAATCTCTGAGGAGCACCTGATGTTCAAAAAAACAAAAACAAAAAATGAAAACCAAACAACTATTTATTTATTTAACTGTGCCACACACCATGGTCCTAGTTGTGATCATCTATCAATCTAGGTCACTCCCTATTAGAAGACCTTACCGACGTTGCCAGGAAGTTCACATGCTCCTAGTGGAATGCCCAGTACCTCCCTCCCACCTACCTACACTGCCTCATTGACATCATCTACTTTAGTTCTACCAGGATGGGTCCCATTCCGCTCTTTATTCCTGTTCACCTCAGACACTGTAGAAGCTTAGTACTCATCCTGAGGCAAAAAACCAAACAGTTCTGTATGGCCTGTGTCTGCTCCAAGGCAGATAGACCTCAGCAGTTCCTGGAAGGCAAGGAGGGTGGAGGCATGTTTAGATCAGGTTCAGGCTTATCTTCCGTAAGCTGAAGTGCTCCTGAATTCCAAACTCATGTATCCAACTAGGGATGTCTGGTTGGATCGCAAACTTAACACCTCCAACACCTCCTCCTCCAACAGTCTTCTGTATCTCAGCAAATAGCACCTCCACATTTACTCCGTGGGAAAATCATGTTGACTCTATCTTCACACTGTATCTAAAATTTGACCACTGCTCATCACCTCCATTGCTACCATCTGGTGCCAGCAACCACCAGCTCTCTTCTTGATCATTACAAATGCCTCCTCACTGCCTCCTGTTTCCCTTACCCCTCTCAGCTTGTTCTCACATCATCAACCAATTAAAACAAGAGTCAGATCGCCACACACTCTTCTGCTCAAAATCCTCCAAAGAGACTTGTAAAATATAAATACCAAAATCCTTACCATGACCCAAGACCCTACACATTTTGACCTCATCTCCCTCTTCCCATGACTCTTTGCTTATGCCACGTTTACTGATCTTTGCATACACTGGATATGATGTTCACTCAGCACCTCTGCATTTGCGGTTTCCCTTGCCTAGAATGCTCTTCCCCTAGGTATTGAGCTGGCCTGTTTTCTCACCTTCTTCAGGTCTTGGCTTATATGTCATGTCAGGTAAAGCCTCCCCTGCTCTCCTTGAGTCACATCCTTGAGCACCTCCTATATTCTACAAAGGTCTGAGAGTATACCATTTTATTTATATATCAACATGCATCTCTACATCTTGTCTCTCACCATTAGAATGTATGCTTCATGAAGACAGAAAATTTTGTCTATGCTACAAGAGAGGCTGGCACACAGTAGTCATTCATGAAATGTTCATTGAATGAAAGATTGTTACATTTGAGGTGCTTGTGTGGTATTCACTAATAGACACGCAATAGAGACTTGAATATACAGGTGTAGAGCTTACAAGGGAATCTAAAGCTAGAGTTACAGATTTGAGATTCTTCAGAATGTAGCGTTGAGATAGCATTTCCTGGAATAATGAGAAGAGGAAAGAGCCCAGGATGGAACCCTGGAGAACTGTTACATGTGAGGGATGGGTGGACGAAGAGTGGCTTAGGAAGTGATCCTGGAGTCCTGAGGTGGACCTGGAAAAAACAAGTCTCTGAAACCAAGAGAGGAAACATTTTCAAGGAGGGGAGTTGGCAGTATTGGAGGCTGCAGAGAAGATAAGATGAGAACATAAAACTAAAAACCTAAGAGTCAATCATATGATACTGAAAGCTCAGGACTGAAACCATCCTACATTCTGATCTAAAGGTTTTTAAGTGTTGAATTTTGAGTATGAAAGATGTATGCAGTAAAACTTGCTGTAACTTGGACTACTAATGTAATTTAACCAAATGTAACTCACATATCTAAATTTATTTCGAAATTAGTTTGATCAGTGTGGTGAAGGGCACCTTGGACTCGAACCATGCATGTTTAACTTACGATCTAGAGTTCATGGGTGGCATAATTTAAGTCAAATTACCTTGAAGGTGATCATCGACATTTACAAACACTTCATTGATAAGAGTTGAATGTTTCCTTCTAATCTCATTTGTACTGTTTTATTGAAGTTATGGAGGGATATGATAGTGCTATGTTACAAAAATATTGCTGTGTGAAATTTCAGATAACTAATGAGATTGTGCGACAGATGATGGAAATGGAAGGAATGTACAGCTTGGACAAGCCTGGAGACTTCACTACTATTGTTGATGTGCAGCTCATAGCAGCAATGATCCACCCTGGAGGTGGTCGAAATGATATTCCACAACGTTTAAAAAGACAATTTACTGTGTTTAATTGTACATTGCCTTCAAATGCTTCAATAGACAAAATTTTTGGTATGAATATTCTTAGTGTTTAATTATTTTATTGCATTACGTAATGGATGTAAACCACACAGAACTTCATTTAAGAGACAGGCTCTGTCTAAAGTGGGTTAGGTATGTGAAATGGAGAGCTAAATACCAGGAAAGAGGGACTAAATACTAACATGACCCATTCTTATACCCTATTCTAAGACTCAGAGATATTTAGAAATACGCTTTTTGAAAGTTAGCATTAGACGTAAGGAACCTTTGTGTTTTGGTTTTCAGGATATGGTTAATCATAGAAATTTGGGCTAATGAATGACAACACAAAGATCAGAGATTAATGGTATATTATACAAAGTCAAATGTAGCGCTTCAATATGTTAATGAAAATTAGATTCTTGACATCAAATGTGACATCAAATCACATAAATCGTACCATCACAGCTTATGTATAGACCAGGCCATGCCTATAATCTTAGCACTTTGGAAGACCAAGGTGGGAGGATTTCTGAAGGTCGGGAGTTCAAGACCAGCCTGGACACATAGAGAGACTTGATTTCTACAGAAAGTTTAAAAGATTAGCTGGGCGTGGTGGCACACGTCTGTAGTCCTAGCTACATGGGAGGCTGAGGCCCGCGGATTGCTCGAGTCTAGAAGGTTGAGGCTGCAGTGAGCTATGATCACATCGCTATATTCGAGCCTGGGTAACAGAGTAAGATCCTGTCTAAAAAACCAAGAAACAAATCCCCAAGCCCCCCAAAACCTCTTACATACATACGTGAGAAGCAGACCCATGCATATAAGAACGTTAATTACTTGATACAGGAAGTACTGTAGTCAGAAGGGAAAGGGTAGACTTTTAATAAGTAGTTCTGGGATACTTAGTAACTCTTTTTTTTTTTTTTTTTTTTCACATTTTACACTTTAATACAAATTTCAGAACATAAAAGTATATTTTCTATTGTTCCAATGCACATTTTATCTGCAATACAATATTTATAAAACAAACAGCTCTTGCAACAAACCTAACATTATTAAAATAGTTAAATTATTTATTTAAAAAATTGTTTAGAAACAGGGTCCTGCTCTGTTGCCCAGGTTGGAGTGCAGTGGTATGTTCATAGCTCACTGTAACATCAAATTCTTAGGCTCAAGTGGTCCTCCTGCCTAGCCTCTCAAACACAGCTGGGACTACAAGCATGTACACCATGCCGGGCTTGTTTTTTAAATAGAGACAAGGAGTAATTATCCTGCCCAGGCTGGTCTTGAATGCCTGGCTTTAAGTGATCCTTCTGCCTCAGCCTCCCAAAATGTTGGTATTACAGGCATGTGCTACCACATCTGGCCAAAATTAATTTTAATGGCTGTAGTGGGGCCAATTTTCCTCATTATGTAACTACAGGGAATTAGCACACTCTTATGGTTCTTGAATACAACAAAGAATGTGGTATTGATAAGTACATACTGAATATAAATTCGGCCAAACATCCACATCCAAACATTCAAGACGTTAGACTGACTTTTGAGTTTAACCTAAAATTTTTGAAAATAAATTTAAAAATGCCCTCCAAACTACTGGTAACACATTCCTTTCTGGTTGACACAGCAGGTTCCAGGAATTAAGAGTTTTCTGTGTTTCCTCAAATCTTTCTCTCGGGGTAGCCATCAATCATCTTCTTTCTCAATATAGGTCTTTGCATTAACCTGTGCCATCTGTCTGGCTAAATATCTGTCTCTAGCTGACATTACAGTTTCTTCGTTGTTCCGCTTTGCAAACTTGCTCACTGCCTCAGGTGGTCTCTCTTGTTCTTTATCCTTCTCTTGCCTTTCCTCTGTGAGTCTGTGTTTTGCTCCCAGTGATAGTTCAGAAGTAGAGAGTTTCTCTTGGTTTCTTTCTTTGTCCTTTGCCACGTTTCTCATTTTGTTGGATCTTTCTTGGTCAAGAAATTTATCCTTTGCCCTAGAATTTGGGCTGCTTTCCTTTCTGTCTCGATGTCTTTCTGAAGACTGAACACTTACTTCTCCTTTTTCTCTATCTCTGTATTTATCATTATTTTCATATCTTTCCTTCCTTCCTTTCATATGTTCTTCCTTAGCTTTGGTTTTCTCTTCCTTCTCTCCTTTCTCACGGTGTCGGATCTGATCATTTTGTTGTCTATCTCTTTCTTGTTCTCTTTGGGAATATCTCTCCCTGTCTTTCTCCCTTTTCCAGTCTCTGTCACTTCTTTCTCTTTGGTCCCTCGTCCTTGGTTTATCTTCCTGTTCATGCCTCTTCCAATGGGAATCTCTATGACTGGCATCTCTGTGCCTATGAGAATCTCTTTCTTTCCGGTAATCACGGTCAGTGTAATAGTTCTCCTGGTCTCTGGATTGCTTCTGTTGGTGGTGATCTTCTCTTTTCTCATGTCCTCTCGATGTTTGTGATCCTTTTGTGTGGTGTCTGGCACCATGCCCTCTTTCTTCACTAGGCGACTGAGAGTGGTTTTGATTCCTGTGGTGCTTGGAGTCATTCTCAGGGGTCTCTATGACCTTTTTTCTTCTGCAATTCACTGTAGTTTCTTCTTTTTCATCATCCTCGCTGCTCTTAGCATCAAAGTCACTGTCTGCATCTGGGTTTTCCTCTACTTTCACATCAGCTTGAAGAATGTATTTCTCTTGTGGTATTATGTTTTCTGAACTTACTTCATCGGAGTAACCCCTTCGTTTCTCTTCCTTTATACCAGATCTGGCTTCACGAAAGCTGCATTTAGGTATTTCCTCTTCACCAACTGCTTGATTTAACAGGTGCCTATAAAATCCACTGAGATCTTTCTGCTTAGTTACATCTAAACATGCTTCCAGTGCAGCAGCCCTCTTTTCTCTTTCTTCTTCTTCAGCTCTCTCTTGCAGTTTTTTCTTATATGCAGATGTCACAAATGCCTCTTTATCATCAAACTCTCCCTTTTCCATTTCTCGTTCTCTCTGTATTTTCTTCTCCATTCTTTTTTCCTGTTCCTTTTTTCTGATCTCAACTGCTTTTAGCAAGTTGTGAATATACTTGGGCTTTCGGTCTTTCCCCAAAAGCAATTTGGGATTATTTTCCTCCTTTTGTTTCTGCATTTCATCATAAATACTGTCATATTCATATACAGTAGAATCTTCTGCAAGGGCCTTCTGGATTTCCAGTTTGGTCTGTTTCATGGCCTGCTTCTTAGCAGCTTCCCTCTGAAGGCTTTCACTCACGGAGGTCTCATCATCATCATCAGAATCATTCCCAAACACTGAAGGTTTTTGCAAAACAGGGTGCAACTGCTGTGTTTTCTTTGGCAAAATAAGCCCATACGTTTTGGCCTTTAAGATGCGGAGATCACGGGAGGCCGCATCAAGATAAGGGTTACACATCAAAGGTAAAACTTTCAAGTACGTACAGTATTTGTCTCTTTTGCGGCAACGTATACCCCCATTTCCTACATGCCTACCCTTTTTCTGTGGCTTCTCAGAACAATATTCTGCCTGCCCGGAATCACCATCTTGCTCCCGTGTCCCGATACTTAGTAATTCTTATAGGGAAATGATTGAATTTAGACAGCTACCTCATGCCAAGAACAAGATCAACTACAGATGAATTAAGGACCTAAATATGGAAGGCAAGGCTATAAAACATTTGGAAGAAAATGTACGGAAATAGCTGAGTGACCTCTGAGTAAGAAAGGACTTCATAAATAAGACTCAGAAAGCACAAAAATAAAGAAAAAATATACAACTGTGACTAGATTAAAATGTAAAACTTCTCTACATTAAAAAATAACATTAAGAGTGAAAAGACAAGCCTCAAAGTGGAAGAAAAATTGTAACATATATAATAATGCAAAATTTGTATTCTGAATATTTAGAGAAATCCTATAAATCAGTCAAGAAAAGCGAACAACCTGATATAAAAATGAGCAAACAATTAAGGCACTTTAAAAAGAGGAAACTAAATAGCCAAAAAACAAAGTAAAACCTGAAAACATCATTAGTATTCAGGAAAATACAATTGAGAAACACCAAGCAGTACCATTTCATACCCACTAGATTTACAAAAATAAAAAATTCTGACCAAATCAAGCATTGGTGAGAATGTGAAGCAACTGAGACTCTCATTGCCTGCTGGTGGGAGTGCCAATTGCTACAAACCCTTTGGATAACAATTTGGCATTATTGCTGGTAAAATAGGGCACGTGCTCGTCCCTAGCAGTTCCACTTCTAGGTTTATACCAAATTATCATTTTTTTTAATGGTTTGGGCTTTCTGAGTCTTAAGAAGTTCTTTTCTATCCAGATATCACACAAGTATTCTCTTATATTTTCTTCCAGACATGGTATAGTTTTCCCTTCCATATCTGGGGCCTCAATCCATTTGTGTTGATTTTTCACATGCATGCCGGCAGACTTATACAAAAATGTTCATAGTGCAGTATGCATGATGGCAAAAACATGAAATAATCCAGCTATTTATCATAAGTAAAACTGGGTAAATGCATTCCATCACAAGCACACAGTGGCCTGCTATGCAGTAGTGAAAATGAATGAATACAGTTACATGCTTCACCATGGATGAAGCCCAGGAATACAATGCTGAATGGAAGAAGAAAATCACAGGAAAAATATAATTCCACCAAACTGAATATCAAAAGTTTTTTTTAAAAAGTTCAAAAGTTCAGACACCTAAGTGGTGAAGCTATAAAGAAAAGCAAGTTACTGATTATATTCAAGTTGGAGAAGTGGTGACCTCTGGTGGAAGGGAGGAGTTGTGAGCAAGGATGAATGTACAGGGGCTTCTAATGTGCTGGGCAAGGTGGTATTTATCAGTCTGGTGGCCAGTACGTGAGGGTTTGCTTATTTGTTAATCTTATTTGACATACTCTTTGGTATGACTGATACATTTAAACAAATATGGAAAATAAACCAATCAGAAACTGAGCCTCGGAGAGTTGAAATAGCTGCCCAATCAAGGCCTTTGAGCTAGTGCATGGCAGAGGGGTGGTGCTAATCCCCATCTCATGCTTCTTATAACATGTTTGTCCCACAGAAAGCTAGAAATCTAGAATATAGGATTTCAGGAAGCAAAAGGGACTTACAGGCATTTAGCACAATCAACCACTATTTGGAGGAAAATGTCACTTTTCCAGAGCGATTCTTCAATCAGTGTGAACAAACTCCAGTTCCTTTAGTCTCCACTCTTCATAAACCTGTTCTGCATCTCTAAGAAGATAATTATATTTATAATTCTCTGAAAATACCATGCTCAGAGCTGAACACACTATGCAGCATGTAGTCTCACTGGAGTGAAGCAGAGTAAATCTTTCTACAGTCTAAAAGATATTTTGAGACTTTAAGAAGAGTCTATAAACCTACACCCCAGTCTTTCTGAGAGTGATGATAACAGTCAGACCATCACTATGTTGGGTGTTCCCTGTCTAGCCCAGGCCAGAGTGGTGACTGACTGTAGGCTGGAAAAAATGGTCCTGATTCCAGTTCTGCCAATACCAATCCATGTGACCTTGAACAATCGACCTCGCTTGTCTGGGCCTGGTCTCCTTCTCTGTAAGATGAGGGAGATATCTCTAAGCTCACATATGCTTCAGGGTGAATACTGATTTCCAGACTCTAGGGCCAGGTTGCTTGGGTTCACATCTCAAATTTGTGTACATGCAAGCCGTGTAACCTTGAGCAAGTTACTAAGCTCATATTAAAATGGGACTAGTAATAATATCTACCTTGTATTCTTTCTTGTAGGGTGCTGGGTGGGGGATTAAATGAGTCAATACATATAAAACACTTATCACTGCATACTAAGCTTGGCTGGATCCACTATGATTCCCAGTCTAAGTTGATCCCTTCAGAGAGATTCTGAAAAACACCCAGCGTAGTCAGCCTTGTAATGATTTGTTCACTGGGATAAACATATACTTTGAAATCTTTTACTACGCTTATACCTTCAATCCTGCTTATCTTTCAGGAATTATTGGATGTGGATACTTTGATCCTTGTAGAAGTTTCAAGCCTCAAATATGTGAGATGATTGTGAATTTAGTCTCAGTGGGCAGAGTGCTGTGGCAATGGACTAAGGTAAAGAATGGTTTGTTGTCAATAACTTTTAAGAAGGCAACTATTATTCAGCCCTAGTTCTCACCTCGTGGCTCATTAAGTTATCATAGTATCATAGTTAGTGGTGTTTTTTTGGAAAAGAGAAATTAGGTGCTCAAATAGATTTATGACACCTTTTCCTTCCAGGGAGCAAATGTTCTAACTAAATGATGCTTTCCATATGTATGAGATGTTACTGTAAACCAGACATGACATCCAAGACAAAGTAGAATTTTGCTGAAATGAGAACACTGCATTTCCGCTCGCTACTCTGATTTGTAAATCTTTGTTTGTATTATCTGTCTCCCTCCACCAAACTATGTCAGACACTCAAATGCATATTGACTGACTGAATACATGGATTTCTATCTATTCTCAGCCAACTAGGACTTGGGTCTAACTTGTGTGTTTCTCTGAGCTGGAGCGTGAGTTAGTAAATGGATGGAAGTGTTCTTAACAAAAATTGGCTAGATTTGCATACACAAGTCAGTGCTCTAAGTAAAGCTCAGCAAACCTGCAGCTTTCCCCAGATGACTTAAGGCAGTACTCATAAAAAGGCAATTAGGTATAGGTCTGAGATAAAAACGAGGTTGATATATTTGACAAAAAGTCATGAAGGAGATAGGGATTAGTTGTCATAATTCGCTACACATCCGTTAGGCCAATTACACACATGTGGGCAGGTGCTTGTCTCCTGGGAAACCTGGAGTGTGCCAGCCTTTCAGATTCCTGGGTAGACTGGTGGATTTCTAGATACAGAATTATCAGAAGAGGAATTTGGGGTTTCTTATGAGATGCTCTTCCATGTGGCCACCTTCAGTGATGAGTGTGGGGTCCTGCTCCTTGCCAACACAGGGCCTTTGCACGTGCCATTGTGCCTCTTTTAAAGAAACTCCAAAATGAGTGGCAAGGACTGAGCATCTGAGATAGTTTTCTGTGGTAAGATGTATGGGGTTTCCAATAGGACTGTTGCTCAATTTAATGTGCTTATATATGTAGTTTTCTGAAAGGCTTTGCCCTGCCAAGTGTCTCTCCATCAGTTTCTTTTGTTATTTGGATGTTTCCTAGCTCCACACCCTCAGTGTCTTTTCTTTACCTCTTTGACCCATTCTGCACAAGCTTTCATTCCCAATGTTCTCGTCTAGGTCACCAAAGACCTCGTGCCACATCTCAAGGTTAATTTTCCTTCTCCTCTTACTTGACTTTTTAGCAGCATTTGACCTAAATGATCCCTCTAGATATTTTCTTCACTTGGCTTCAGAGGGTCCCCATATTCTTGGTTTTCTTCCTAACTCACTGGCTACTTCATTAAAGTCCCCCTTCTTCTTCCCCTCCTCTAAATCCTGAAATGTACCTGGTCTCGATGCTGGGCCCTCTTGTCTATCTACATTCTTTCCCTAGGTGGCCTCATCCAGCTTCAGCGCTTTAAACACCATCCCTGTGGCGATGACTTCAAAATGGATATCTCCATCCCAGGCCTCTCTGCTTGCCTTCAGGCTGATTTCTAACTGCTTAATAGACATCAGTGTTTGATGTCGGATACTCATCTCAAAGTTTTCATGTCCAAACAGAACTCTTAAATGTCTGTAAATACAATCCTCCCTCGGACTTCTGCATCTTAGTAGCAACACCAATTATTCTGCTTCTTAGGCTAAAAATACTGGGCATCATCCTTAATTTATGTCTTTCTCCTGGCCTAAATCCAGTCCATCAGTAAATCTCAGTGACCTCCCCTTGAAAATCTATCCCAAAGCTGAGCCCTTCTCGCCATCCCCCCATGACCACCCTGATAAGTGCTCCTATCACCTGTCCCCTGTCCCTTCAGTAACTTCCTAGCCAATCTCCTTGCCTTCTTCTTGCTGTCTTGGAGTCTGTTCTTTTCACTGTCCTAGATGATATTTTTAAAGAAGTAAACCAGAGATCTTTACTCCTTCTTAAAACCACCAGTAGATTCCCAGTTGCACTTACAATGTCAGCAGGCTCTGCTTACTTCCCTTGCCCGCCATCTTCCTGCTCCAGCTGAGTCGCCCTGCTCATGTTTCCTTGAGTACCCCAGGTTTATTGCACTGCTAAGCTGCCATACTTTAGCTGAGGCTCATCATTCTCACCTTCAGAGGGACTGTCCTCGATTGTCCTCTAAAGTGACTGCCTGTGTCCCTATGCTAGTCATTGTCTGTCTCCTGACCCTGATTTTTAACCATGGCTTCTATCATTATTTGCTTTACATATATATTTGTTTCCTGTTCATTCTCAGGCTCCCCAACTAAAATAAAACCCCCCTTAATGGCAGCAGAGTTAGCTGTCCTCTGTTTACCACTGTGTCTTCTTAAGTACCGGGGAGGTGCTCAGTCATTGAAAAGTGAATGAATCTATAAATTGTTCTACTATAAGGACACATGCACATGAATATTCATTGCAGCACTGTTTACAATAGCAAAGACCTGGAACCAACCCAAATGCCCATCGATGATAGACTGGACAGGGAAAATGTGGCACATATACACCATGGAATACTTTGCAGCCATCAAAACCGATGAGTTAGTGTCCTTTGTAGGGACGTGGATGAACCTGGAAACCATCATTCTCAGCAAACTGACACAAGAACAGAAAATCAAACACCGCATGTTCTCACTCATAGGTGGGTGTCGAACAATGAGAACACATGGACACAGGGAGGAGAGTATCACACACTGGGGTCTGTAGGGGGGAAATAGGGGAGGGACAGTGGGGGGTGGGGAATTAGGGAGAGATAGCATGGGGAGAAATGCCAGATATAGGTGATGGGGAGGAAGGCAGCAAATCACACTGCCACATGTGTACCTATGCAACAATCTTGCATGTTCTTCACATGTACCCCCAAACCTAAAACGTAACAAAACACACACACACACAAAAGAAGAAAAATGAATGAATCTTCCTCCTCTGCCCACTTCTACTTTTCTTTTCTTCAAATCTCCCACCTTCACAAAGCCCTGTCTATCTTTAATCCGTTCATGCTTTGTCTATCAGCCCAACTTTATATAGCTTTAAAGCAGAAGCAGGTGAGAAAAGAAAGAAGGTGATGAAAAGCAGAGGGAAATAGAAGAGAAGGAAAGAAACAGGTTAACAAATAATGAGAAGGAAAGAAAAGAATTTTTTACAGATTCTCTTTAATGACTGCTTCAGTTGCCAATGGCTGCCATGATGGCTGTAGTGTTTTAACATTAAAAAAAAAAAAAAAAAAAAGCAATATTCACCTGGGCGCAGTGGCTCATGCCTATAATCCAAGCACTTTAGGAGGCAGAGGCGGGAAGATCACAAAGTCAGGAATTTGAGACTAGCCTGACCAACATGGTGAAACCCAATCTCTACTAAAAATACAAAAATTACCTGGGCGTGGTGGCGTATGCCTGTAATCCCACCTACTCAGGGGCTGAAGCAGGAGAATTGCTTGAACTCGGGAGGTGGAGGTTGCGGTCAGCAAAGATTTCACCTCTGCTCTCCAGCCTGGATGACAGAGCAAGATCCCACTAGAAAAAAAAAAAGCAATATGTAAATAACCTTACCCCTTTGAGTGTTTTTGCATATTGGTAATATAACTCTATGTTTTATATTTGAGTGGGTAGGATGAACATTTTAGCTTGCAATGGAACTGAGTAAAAAGGGAAGTTGATAGGTGGTTGATAAAATACACTCCTTTTCATCTCCCCATGCTACTTGCTGTTTTAACTAGCACTCTGAATTAGCCTGTAAAAATTACAAACTCAATAGGCTAATTTTTCAGTATAGAAAGAACTTCATTTCTGAACAGATGCTAAAGAAAGCATTTGCTTTAGTGAAATAATTGTGTGGGGAATTTGTATCACCAGAATTATCATTATTTTTACTTTTAAAAGTGATGCTAAGGATATCAATTATGATCTTTAAACATGGCCATCAATTCATTCCATATCTAGAGTACCTCAAGTTTACCCCTTAACGGGTATCTCTCTGGGTAAAAATGTGCTATTGTTACAACTTTGCCTTTTTATATTCTAGAAGTTGGTAGAAATCAAGTTAGCACAGCTGAATACAGTCTTTGTGCTCTAACAGAAAAAACATCTATTACTATGCTTACAGCTGCATGTCAGACTTGCCTGTCCACTTATTGTGGATATACAGATATACGAAAGACTGTTAACTGAGTTTGGATCCACACAGTAAAATCCAGGTTATGATATGCAGATATATTTATGGAACTCCGAACACATTAAGGACCCTAATCAAAGCAATTTATAGAAGACAGTCATTATTAACTTTAAAAGTGAACATTCATTGTTCTTACCTGCATGACAATCAACTCACATTCAGTTTTTTGCTATGACCTATTTCCACATATACACTACCAATGATTAGGGATAATTATTCCCACAATTCATATAGTTTTTAAGAACTTGGGGAAAGTGACTTTTCAAAGCCAACTGATGGTGGTAGAACAAGGCATTGGAATCTGCATCCAGTGCATTGATCTTGAGTCCATCCTATCCAAGAGCTTATGGTCCTTTAAATCCTAAGTTGGTATATTTATGATGTTTTTTTCTGTCAGTGTTGTCACAAAATATGAACTTAACCTTGATTTATTTACTCAGCAGATTTTATCAAAAATAGGATTTGTGAGACAGTTCTAAAAGTAATTCTACTTTTAGTTGTATCTAAAAACTAATTGAGAGTGTTACATTTTTTTGTCTGTAGGTGAAGATGCTGCCAACTCCTTCTAAATTTCATTACATCTTCAATCTTCGAGATCTTTCCAGAATTTGGCAAGGAATGTTGACCATAAAAGCTGAGGAGTGCGCTTCAATCCCTACTCTCCTGTCACTTTTCAAACATGAGTGCAACAGAGTAATTGCAGATAGGTGCATATTGTGGCATTTGAGTTTAAATGTACAACCTGAGAAATTTATACTACTCGTTAATTCTTTTTTTTGAGATGGAGTTTCACTCTTGTTGCCCAGGCTGGAGTTCAATGGTGTGATCTCTGCTCACTGCAACCTCTGCCTCCTGGGTTCAAGCGATTCTTCTGCCTCAGCCTCCCAAGTAGCTGGGAGTACAGGCATGCACCACCACGCTCAGCTAATTTTTTTTTAAGTAGAGGCATGGTTTCTCCATGTTGCTCAGGCTGGTCTCAAACTCTCGACTTCAGGTGATCCGCCTGCCTTGGCCTCCCAAAGTGTTGGGATTACAGGTGTGAGCCACCATGACTGGCTGGTTAATTTTTGCATTGTCTATTCAGATAAGTAGAGTAAGGAGCATTGTCATAATTTGCTGTGAGGCTTGTGAAGCATTAATGGCATCTCTCATCTGCCCACCGCCTTAAAACAATGCTCTGCAAATTTACTTGAGTATGACTTCAACAATACGCCTTTATAAATCACCGGATCATTAGAGTTAACATTCACAGGCATATTTTTGTTGTGCATATTTTCAACAAATTGTGAGCTGTTTGTAGGTTTTATGTGGGGAAACCTGATTTCATCCCTTTGAAGTTAAGTAATCCCGTTAAAGTTAAATTCAGTCATCTTTCTGGGCCTCCATTTCCTCATCTATAAACCACGGATGATAATACTAATTTCACAAAGTTGTAAAGTATCTACCATGTCTCACACAAGGGTGATACTTGTCAAATGTTACCCCTCTTTGTCCTCTCTTCCCTCTGTGATATTGTAAACCCGAAAGGGACCTTTGTGCACTGAACCCACTAACCCAGAAAGAGGACGCTCGTCCACGACCGACTGTCACTTCTGCACTCCTATCGCAAGTTTTAGGGACTTTTGATCCACCTAAGTGATTCATCTGTGTTTCCTATAAGTAATGCTATTAATGGTATAACTTTCTTGGATGGGGTTATGCCCTTCTTATCAAAAGGCAGAACATATTGTTTCCCTTTCCTGAATTGAGAAGGTGCAGGGTGGGGCTGAGAAGATGTGAAGGGACATGTTCAGTTAGAAAAGATGCTTTCATATTTCACATTCTTACTACTACATTTTCCTTTCAGATTTATAACTCCTGAAGATGAGCAGTGGTTCAATGCCCATCTTATTCGTGCAGTTGAAGAAAATATTGGCTCTGATGCAGCATCGTGTATTCTTCCTGAACCATACTTTGTGGATTTTCTCCGTGACATGCCAGAACCAACTGGTGATGAACCTGAAGACACTCTGTTTGAAGTACCCAAAATATATGAATTGGTATTTATTTTCATCTCTTAAAAAGAGGTTTTCAGATCACTCACCTAACTAGATATTTATCTTTATACCAGGGCCCCACCATAGTGGGGAATTCCAGCTATAATTCCAGCACTTTGGAGGCTGATGTGGGTGGATTTCTTGAGCCCAGGAGTTTGAGACTAGCCTAGGCAACATAGTGAAACCCTGTTTCTACAAAAAAAAATTAAAAAATTAGCTGGGTGTGGTGGCATGGTCCTGTACTCCTAATTACTCAGCAGGTGGAGGTGGGAGGATCACTTGAGCCTAGAAGTTTGAGGCTGCAATGACCTGAGATTGTGCCACTGCAGTCTAGCTTGGGTGACAGAATAAGACCTATCTCAAAAAAAAAAAAAAAAAAAGAAAAAGGAAGAGAGAGAGAGAGAGTTCAGTAAGGTGACCACGCATTATATAAATATGAAATAACTATCCTCTATACCTATACCAGGAGTTGGCAAATTAGAGTTTCTGGGCCAGATCCAGCCCACTGGCCTGTTTTCATCAGACTTATTAGCTAAGAAGGATTTTATTTATTTATTTATAAGATGGAGTCTCTTTCTGTCACCCAGGCTGGAGTGCAGTGGCGTGATCTCAGCTTACTGCAACCTCTGCCTCCTGGGTTCAAGAGCTTCTCCTGCCTCAGCCTCCCTAGTAGCTGGGATTACAAGTGCCTGCCACCGCGCCTGGCTACTTTTTTGTATTTTTAGTAGAGACATGGTTTCACCATGTTGGTCTTGGGATTACAGGTGTCCGCCAACACATTTGGCTAATTTTTTGTATTTTTAGTAGAGACAAGGTTTCATCATGTTGGTCAGGCTGATTTCAAACTCCTGACCTCAAGTGATCCACTCATCTCAGCCTCCTAAAGTGCTAGAATTACAGGTGTGAGCCACTGTGCCCGGCTGATTTTTCATTTTTAAATAGTTACCAAAAAATAAATAAATAAAATCATATTGTGTGACATGTAAAAATTATGTAGAATTCAAATTTCAGTGTTCAATAATAAGGTTTTATTAAAACACCCATTGGTTTAAATATTGGCCATAGCTGCTTTTGCACTACAATGGCAGGGGTGAGTAGAGACTGAATGGGCCACAAAGCCTAAAATATTTACTATCTTGCCCTGTACAGAAAAAACTTACCAACACTTGCCAACAAGACAGAAAATATACCATAAGTATTTCATTTAACAGCAACAACAATATTAAACATCTAGGAATGAACATGATAAAACTTAAATAGCATTATGCCATTCTTTCTAAATTAATATATAGGTTTAATGAAATTTGAAACAAGATTTCAAAGGACTTTTAAAAACAAGGTTATATATAAGTAACAAAGTAATTTTGAAGTGCATGTAGAACCCGGTGAAGTGGTTTATGCCTGTCATTCCCGCAATGTGGAGGAGCTGAGGTAGGAGGATCGCAGGGCCAAGGAAGTCAAGGCTGCCGTGAGCTATGATCGTGCCACTGCATTCCAGCCTGGGTGACAGAGTGAGACCTTGACTCTAAAACATAAAGTTGTATGTAGATCAAAGAATTAGATGGGGAGGAACAATTAGCAAAACAAAGAAAATGGGTATGGATTTATTGCAGAACAACAGACTTGTGGATTTGACTCCATAAATAATGTAAAATTTCTTTATACTTTTGAAAGCCACAAACAATATTAAAAAGCAAATTAAAAACTAAGAGTAATATATCTCTTATATGAATGTGTTAATTACCATGGATAGGAGTTGGTAGGGAAGGGTCAGAAATGATTTTGCACTAGAAACCAACTAATGCCGTTAAGTTTCAGGCCTTAGAAAATGAAAATAACTAAAAGGAGACTAATACGTGAGGCACCTCTGGAAATCCATAAAGTTTAAAAAAGATATATACATTTTAAAATTACCTTTGAGTGTCTTTACAATTGCTACTTTAATACATATTTGGATCTTAAATATTATGTTTTTCTCTTTCTCCCCACCCCTAGGTGCCATCCTTTGACTTTCTGTCTGAGAAACTCCAATTTTACCAGAGACAGTTCAATGAACTCATTAGAGGAACATCTCTTGATCTGGTGTTTTTTAAAGATGCAATGACTCATCTTATTAAGGTTCTAACTATTCCCTATTTACTGATATATATATAGATCATGTAAAAGCTTAATATATTTCATAGATAAATTTTTTGAGAGAATATACTGTCAGGTATCGTATAGAAGAGTGTACATAGGTTGGGTCAGTTCACTGGTCTAGAAAACAGAGGCTTAATAAGAAACCCTTTATTCGAATCCAACTACATGACAGCAAATGTCTTTCAAGGGCAAATAGATGGTTTTGGGTTCAGAGCTTTTGGCACACTGAGTCGACAAGAAAGTACGGAGAACCTTTAAAAAGTATGTTAGGTGTAGTGTCTCACCCCTGCAATCCCAGCACTTTGGGAAGGTGAGGCAGGTAGATCATGAGGTCAGGAGTTCAAGACCAGCCTGGCCAACATGGTGAAACCCCGTCTCTACTAAAAATACAAAAAGTTAGCTGGACATGGTAGCAGGTGCCTGTAATCCCAGCTACTCAGAAGGCTGAGGCAGAGAATTGCTTGAACTCATGAGGCAGTGGTTTCAGTGAGCTGAGATTGCGCCACTACACTCCAGCCTGTGTGACAGAATGAGACTCCGTCTCAAAAAATAAAGTATGGAGAAGCTTGTGAAAAAATATACTTCCCTCAAATTATATTTTGATATTATGGGGATTCTGTTCTTTAAAAATTATTAGTGTTACGACTGGCTTACTGGTGATGGGACAGGGGTAAGGTTGGTATACAGGACTGGTGAGAGAATAGACTAGAAGCCAGTTAGAGACAACACCAAAAAGGGCCGTTTTCACACTCATCTATTCAACAAGTAATTATTGAGCATTCACCGTGGCTAGATCTTGGGGTTCTGAGATGCTATTCTGAGTACAAAACCATAAGTGATTAATATGATAGAATTTACACATACCAGGGTGTCATTATTGATCCACCATCTGTAAAATTTGTCTTTTAAAAAATTTTATTTTTAGTGATGATAGTGAATTTAGTGATCTATCTAGACTTTCTCCCTAATCAGTGACAGTAATATAAAAGACAGCTTTTTAGCAATGTCTTCAGTTTGCCTGCCTAAGATTTGAGCCACAATTTGAGTCTTACCTTCACTGAGGAAATCAACCATAGAAAAGCAACACCAGATGAAAGGCTGCCTCTCCAACTTGGCTTCTAATGTCCCGCTTTCACCACTATAAATAGAATTGTGGTACTAAAAGAAAAAAGTTGTTGGCAGAGATATAATAGAGTTAGTATTCATTGTTGAGTTTGGTGTCTACATGGTTCAGTGTGTTAGGCTGGTGAATAATCAAAAACAATTCTAAACATTTCTTATGTCTTCTGCAGATTGGGAAGAGCAGCTCCACTACCTATTGGCTCTAAAAATAATAAAATTATACATGCAGACACACACATGAACATACACACAGAATAGTTTTAAAATGGAAGTAGATTTGGTTTGTTCTGTTCTTCATGATGTAAATATAGATGGTAAAGGAAAGATTCCAGCTGGACAAATCAATATTAAACTTTAATTTTAAAGATTCTGAGATAGACCATTAACAAGCAAAAAGTCTAGTATCGCCTAGAAACACATGATAAAAATTTGGACTCATTTCATATAAGAAAGTATAAACATCTGCATCCTTTTTTTTTTTTTTCAAATAAGCACTTTTTAAATCTCAAAACAGATTTCGCGAATAATTCGAACATCCTGTGGAAATGCATTGCTGGTGGGTGTTGGTGGTTCTGGAAAACAAAGTCTTTCAAGATTGGCCTCTTTTATTGCCGGCTATCAAATATTCCAGATAACGTTAACCAGGTAGGATGAAATAAAACACAGTATGTTTTTCTGTAGTTAATTTCTCTGAGGTTAAATGTTTGCTTTAGAAAAAAGGAAACAACACTTTTCTGTATTTCTTTTTAAAGTAAACTTTAAGTATTACATATGTAAGGATGTTTACACGAGTCATGAGTATCACAAAGTAAATACACCTATGTAGCCAGTCTAGAGATGAAGAAATAAAACACAACTTGTACTCCAGAAGCATCCTCATGTTACATTGCAGTCATTAACTTCCTTAAGGTGACCATATTCAAAGTGTAAGCCCATTGATTCGTTTTGCCTAGTTTTGAATTTTGTATCAGTTGAATCATACAGGATTTGCTCCTTGCATCTCATTTCTATTATTGCATTGTTTGTGAGATTCATCCATGATGCTGCATGTAGCAAGAGTTGTTCATTCTTTTTGCTGCGTGATCTTCCACTTTATCAGATACTAGCACCATTTATCCATTGTACTCTTGATAAACATTTGGTTTGGGGCAAGTAGAGCTACTGTAAATATTCTTGTATATGTCTGAGTATACACCTAGAGTTAAAATTCCTGGATGGAGGGTATCCATATATTTAGCTTTAGTCGATCTGCGTAGTAGTTTTCTCATGTAGTTGTACCAGTTTACACTTCCACCAACATGTCATGAGAGTTTTGTTTACTCTGCATTCTTGCCCCCTTCTGGCATTGTGTGTCTTTTTCATTTTAGCTATTTTTTTTTTTTTTTTGAGATGGAATTTTTCTCCGCCACCTAGGCTGGGGTGCAGTGGTGCGATCTCGGCTCACTGCAACCTCCGCCTCCCAGGTTCAAGCGATTCTCTTGCCTTAGCCTTCCGAGTAGCCGGGATCACAGGAGTGTGCTACCATGCCCAGTCAATTTTTGTATTTTTAGTAGAGACAGGGTTTCACCATGTTGGCCAGGTTGGTCTTGAGCTCCTTACCTCATGTGATCGACCCGCCTCGGCCTCCCAAAATTACTGGCATGAGTCACCTTGCCAGCTGATTTTAGCAATTTTAAGAGGTGTGGAATGATAGCTCACTGTGGTTTCAGTTTGCATTTCCGGGATGGCTAATGATGTTGAGCATTTCATCTCTCAGTGGCCATTTGGATAGGCTCTTTTGTGAATTATTTAAGCCCTTTCTCCATTTTTGTTTAATTTGATTGTGATTCTTTCTTATTGATTGTAAGGAATTCTATATGTTTTGGATATAAAGGGTGCATATTGCAAATATCTTCTCTTAGTTATTGATTTGCCATTTCATTCTCTTAGCGGATCTTAATTTTAAGGAAACATCCATTTTTTTTTCCTTTCTATTCAGTGCTCTTTGTATTCTGTTAAAAAATCTTTGTTTGGCCTAAGGGCACATAGATATTTTCCTATGATTTTCTTCACATTTACACATAAAATTTACTACTTTCACATTTAGTACTATAACAGACCTAAAATTAATTATCTTATAATGTCTGATAGAGGAGTCGTGATGATTATTTTCAATACTGATATCCAGTTAATCCAGCTCCATTTATTAAAAAGGTCATCTTTTTCCTGTCACATCACAGTGTCATTTTTTGTCTTAAGTCATCTGATCATATATGTGACTAAATAGTCTCCTCTACTGGCTTTCTCATCTATCTTTGTATCATTACCCACTGTATTAATTGCTGTAGCTTCTTTAATATATATTTAAATTTTACATATGTATATTTGGTAGTGTCAGATCTCCAACTTTACTGTTGTTCTTCAAAATATCTTGTCCATTTGGCCTTTTATTCCCATATAAAATTCAGATCTCTTTGCTAATTTATAAAGAAACACACAATCATTCTGTGTGTTTGTTTATGAATTGGCGAAGTGATCTAAATTTTCATCTGCCAAACAAATGAAAAATAAATATTTAACAAGATATAATTTATTGTATTTTAAAAACATAAAACATCAAATAAGTAGATATTAATTTAATTTTACTTCAAAAAAGTAAATTAGTTGTCAACATTTAAAAATCGAGAGGTTTCATATTTTGAAAAAGCGTGTTTCTGACTTTTTTTGAAATAATTGGAAGATCTGGCAACCTAGGGCCTACACTCCCAGGTGGCAGAGCTCAGTAGCAGCTGCCTCCTTGGATGGGGCATGCAATCCTCCAGTTCACAGACCCTACCAGTGCTGCTTCACTCACTGGCATTATCTATCTGTCTGATTCCTGTAGGCATCTACATTTGTGATCCTGAGATAAGTGGTGTTGCACTCATTATAGTCAGGAATGACAGAGGCTTAAATCAAGGCAAATTTATTCACTATATTTTCTTAATTTCTGTATTCTTGATACTCTGGCATCTGAGACCCTGCTGACTGGGGAGAGACTGACCCTTCCAGGGTAGCCAATTCTTAGAGATTAAAACAACTCCTCCAGGACAGTACCTTTCATATGCAAACCAAGCAATCCAGAGTCCTTACTCCCAACCTTCTCCTCTATCTGGTGGGTGTCTAGTGAGATCTCATGGTGGATTAGGATATTCCTCTGCCCTAATGACCCCAGGGCCACATACCAGTCAACTAGGGACTGTTCTTATGCCCCAGAGCCTGCTGAAATTATTCAAACTAGCGAATCCTAAATCTGCTTCCCTGCTTTGCCTTTCTCATGGAAACCACAATAAAGACTCTCACCAGGGTTTTCCCATCACTCCTTTTGCCTCCTGATTGACCCTGGTGTTTCCCCATGTCACCCTACCTGGCATGACAGGCCCCCTCCTGTTTCTAGGGATCCTTGAGTATAAACATCTTCCTTCATGACAGTCATTCCTGTGTCTTTGTGTCTTACTGCACTTGATTACAAAAAATTCTGGATACATTTTATAACAGCAGACAAACTGGGAATAGAGAGGAAGACTCAGTGGGGACAGTTTAAAGTATGCAGAATTGATAGGACTTAGTAACTGACCCAATATGGAGGAGGAGGAGGCAAGAACAGGAAGACCAGGATGACACTCTAATTTCTTTAGTGGTATAGTTGTGTGCCCCATAAGGACATTTTGACATTTTGGTCAACAACAGACAGCATATATAATGGTGGGCCCATGAAATTGTAATCGAACTGCTCTATACAGGAGTAGCATTTTAAAAACCCTTTGAAGTGTATTTTAACTGTACCTTTTCTATGTTTAGATAGATACATAAATATGGACCATTGCATTAGAATTGCCTATAGTATTCAGTGCAATAACATGCTGTTCAGGTTTGTAGCTTAGGAGCAACAGGCCATTCCATACAACCTAGGTGTGTGTAGTTGTACTCTATGCTGTTCTGTGTCAGTGAGTTTTTGCATTGCAATGAATACCTGAGGCTGTGTAATTTACTTAAAAACAGGTTTGTTTTGGCTCAAGGTTCTGCAGACTGTACAGGAAGCGTGGTGCTGGTACCTGCTTCTGGTGGGGGTCTCAGGAAGCTTCCAATCATGTTGGGAGGCAAAGGGAAAGCAGGTGGTCATATTGTGAGAGCTGGATCGAAAGAGTGAGGGGGCAGGTCTCAGACTCCTTTAAACAACTAGAACTCACATGAACTCAGAGTGAGAATTCACTCAGTACTAAGGGGATGGTGCTAAGCCATTCATGACGGATATGCCTCCATGACCTCCCACCAAACCCCACCTCCAACATTGGGGATTATATTTCAGCTTGAGAGTTGGAGGGGACAAGCATCCAAACTGTATCATGTTCCCACGTGATGATATTTTCCAAGGATGCATTTATCAGAATGTATCCCCATTGTTAAGCAATGCATGACTGTACTTATCACACTGCATTTAAAAAAGTGCTTGTTCACATATATTTCTATCTCCTTCACTAAGCTGTAAGCTCCCTGAGAATGGGCCACTTTAATCTTGGTCTTTATTTTTATTATTAAATGTTTCTTTTAAGCAATTCTATAAAAGGATATGTTGAATAAATAAATAAATGGCCATCTTTGAAGGGTAAAGTGAGAATTTAGTTCAGTATATTTGAGTCTGCAGTGTCTGCAGAACACAATTTCCATAGACAATAAGACTCATGGATGTGGAGTTCAGGAGAGGGCTCTGGTTATAGAGACAACAATATAGAAATCTCAGTAGAGAGAACCCGTTTATGGTCATGCGGTGTATGAATAGAATGTGTCATGGGAAAAAAGATGGCTGTGGAAAGAACTCTGGGGTCTCCCAACACAGAGAAAGAGGGTTTGCGATGGAGAGTGAGAAGGAGAGGCAATAGAGAGAGGAGGAAATCCAGAGTGGTTTCCAGAAACTAAGCAGGTAGGGAATTAATCTGAAAATGCTAAGACATGAAGAGTGGTAACTGATAGTCAACATGATAAAACTTTCAGTGGAGTGGATGACTGCAGAAGCCACATTGCATTAGGAAGAGAAGAAGCACAGAGAATACTTTCAAAAAACTTGAAAGAAAGAAACAAGAGACATCAGGACCTGGACAAGGAGTGTGTTGTGACTGTCTCTATGTATTGCAAAAGCAATACATAACAGTCCTTCTAATTCTTTAAAAAATCAGCCAAATTGACATCTTTGGCTGATCAATTCGGAGACTGGCCAGTCAGTGAGAGGATTACCCTGACAGCATCAGGCCAGTAGATCTTTCTGGTTCCAGTGCCCGTAGTCTTTCTGCGAGATCCCATGGCCCACTCTCTATTACTTGCACTGTAACACCTCCTTCCAGGAGGATTAGCTTTTCATCCTTGTCATTAATTTACCCATGAAGATTAACATTTCAGATAGTGTCTGCTTTATTTTTACACATCTCATCACCTCTGGTAGCACATACATTTGACCAGAAACAGAGTAAACAGTAAAACAAAGACCAAGATCTTTTCATTCCATAATCTGTAACCATCTAACATTTTTATTATTTATATCGTATTGCATAATGCATCCTTTTCTGTGGGTTTTCTTTGTATCTAGCCACTTAATGAGCTGTGCAAATTGCCACTATATACAATTTATCAGTAATTTTATTCACAACTTATTGTGACTTTTTCACCAAACCAAACTCATCCAAATTTCAGATGAGTTTTAGATATTGTAATATTGTACATATATTTACTCAGATAAAATCTGCTGCTGAAAGCTGTCAGATTGTAGGGAATAAAAGTTCGTTTCTCTATTCCCAATTATGCTTCATGGATCACTTTTGGTAAGTTCTCTGTTTCTCAGTTCTCAACTTAAACAAAACGCATTTGTTTTGAATGGCAGCAAATCACTCTTTAGCTCTAATCTCTGTATTTTCTAGCAGGCGCCATTACTTAGTATCTATTGGAGCAGGTACAGATTATGCTCTAATTATCATGGGCTATTATGTTCTGAGGTAAATTATGACTATGTATTTTTTAATCTAAAATTTTCTATCACTTTTCTTCTTAGGTCTTACAATGTGAATAATCTAACAGATGATTTAAAAGGTTTGTACAAAGTTGCTGGTGCTGATGGAAAAGGCATCACCTTCATCTTTACTGACAATGAAATAAAAGATGAGGCATTTCTAGAATACCTTAACAACTTGCTATCTTCAGGGGAGGTAGGTCTCAAAAGTATATAAAAAGCCCAAAGGTTGCTGCTTTTTCTATTCCAATATAATTCATATTTTTACAATATGAATTATATTGGAATAGAAAAAGCAGGAATCTTTTAAAAGCGAGGCTATTTAGTACATTTTTGATTTTAGACATAATGTATGAGACTTAATAGATTTTCTGACATTCTTGTGAAATTAATGCTGCCCGTCTCCAGATGCTTTATATGCTTTTTTAAATTTTTGAACATGGTTCCTTACTTGCCTCTTCAATCTTCACTTTGGTCTTATAATTTATTTTAGGAGAAGTGAAGTATCTGTCCATCTATCTACATACTAGTCAGGAGTATAGAATGGTTGAAAGAGTTCTGTTAGTTGCAAATGAATGTCTGCACAACCACTTCTGATATCGCTTGTATCAGCACTTCCATGAGCACTCACATCTTTAGTACTCCAGTAGAAGGATTCACCAGACTCAGCATATACAGGTTGAGCATCTCAAATAAAAAAATCTGGAATCCAAAATGCTCCAAAATCTGAAACTTTTTGAGCAGTGACATGATGCTCAAAGGCCACGCTCATTATTGGAGCATTTCAGATTTCAGATTTTTGAATTTGGGGTGCTCAACCAGTAAGTAAAATGCAAACATTCCAAAATCTGAAAAAAATCTGAAACCTGAAACACTGTGGCACCAAGCATTTTGAATAAGGGATGCTCAACCCATGGTTATTCTCATGGCTGAGATTTATTGCGGCAACACAGTAAGGATACCGAGTCAGATCAGTAGAGAAAAAGACCCATCTTGTGGAGTAATTGATGTTTCAGGAACATGGGATCGATGTTCCAGCTTCCTATGCTTTTGCCAAGGAGCCATGCAGGACGTCCTCTCCATTCAGTATGAAGGGCAGGAACACATGCACTGTGTTTCCATTCAGGGAAGCCCTTTTGAGACCCAGAGTCCAGTGGTTTTTTTAGGGCTGGTCATGGTAGTCACTTCCTGCCTAGCTACACTGCCAAAGTTCCAGATTCCTAGAAGAAAAGCACGTAGATGTTCACCATGTATCACAAGGTTTGTGTAAACAGTCTAGTTGGCACTGCAAAACAACCTTATCAATTACTAATGGAGGAGACGTTCCAGAAGCCAAGTTCCCTGATAACAGCCAAGGGTCAGCTCTGCAAGTTTACCCTTCTCAAGATTAGGCCTGCTGTGCTAACTCTTCCCTGCACCATGGTATCCAGATGCTTAAAGGTGCAAAAATTAGTTAACGTATTTTGGAGCCAGAATTGATTAGACTGACTCTGGGTCAAAAAAACAAAAAACAGAGGGCACTCCTGGACATTTTAAAGAGGTGATTGAAGTGGTGGAGGAGATAGCTTTTGGCGATAGCTACTTGAACACAGGAAAACACAATTTGTTCTTGACTGAGCTGTTCAATAAAAAGTTGCAGCCATGATAATCTCTGGCAAATCACGGATTTGACTGTAGAGATGCAGAAAGAAAATGTAAAACAAGATGACATGGCAAAGAAAAAAGGGACTGGACTTTAGCAGTGAATTCATTGTGGAGAACTCTTAAAATATAGAACACTTCCTTGTCCCTTCCTTAAAGATCTCCAATTTGTTTGCACGAGATGAGATGGATGAAATCACCCAAGGTCTGATTTCAGTGATGAAGAGGGAGCTGCCTCGCCATCCTCCTACTTTTGATAATCTGTATGAATACTTCATTTCAAGATCAAAGAAGAACTTACATGTTGTTCTCTGCTTTTCTCCAGTGAGTTATTTATATCTCTGTAGAAAGAGTTTCTTATTTAAAAATACTTAGTTTACCTTCTCTGATTAGATGATGATCTTAAAAATTAATATTTTTACATTGAATTAACCTAATGCTTTTGTATCACCAATCTCCAATTCTCATTTCCAGTATAATTTAAAATATTCATATTATTAAAAATATTGCATAACCTGCAATTTTCATTAATTACTTAGAGACATGGGTTGTTTGAATTGTAAGGGACTTGGTGATGTAATCTCTTCCAGCTCCACCTCCAGTGTAGACATATCATCTTTACCATAATGTCCCTGATGTGGGTTTGAAAATCTCTATCTCATTGTGCTGCCCAATATAATAGCCATTAGGCATATACGGCCACTTAAATTTTAATTAAAATTAAGTAAAAACAAAAATTTAATTCCCCAGTCCCACTAGCCCCATTTCTACTTATTATTTGTTTATTTTTGATACAGGGTCTTGCTCTGTTGCCCAGGCTGGAGTGCAGTGACATGATTATGGTTCACTGCAGTGTCAACCTCCCAGGCTCAAGCCATGCTCTCAACTTAGACTCCCGAGTGGCTGGGGCTACAAGCACGTGCCACCATGCCCAGTTAATTTTTGTATTTTTTGTAGAGATTGGGTTTTGCCATGTTGCCCAGGCTGGTCTGGAACTCCTGAACTCAAGCAATTCACCCTACTAGGCCTCCCAAAGTGCTGGGATTACAGGCGTGAGCCCCTGCGCCTGGCTTAGCTCCATTCTTAGTGCTTAGTAGTCGTGTGTGGTTAATAGCTACTACACTGGAATGCATACATATAAAGCATTTTTATTATCACTTAAAGTTCTACTGACAGCTCTGCTCTGGGGAGTCTCACTAATTTATACGGCAGCCTGCTTCATTCTTGGATAGTCTAATTGCCAAAAAGCTCTTATTTATAGTCAATTGAATTTTGTCTCTGTGCTTTTCAAATTCTGCCCTGTAAAACAAACTCAATCCCTCTTCCACTGAAAGTTTTTTAGCTGTTCGGAGAAAGTTTTTGCAAATCTGTCTAAGTTGTTTTCTTTTTAGGCCAAACATCTATTCTTACTTGTCCCAGCGTCCAGGGCTTTCACTGTCCTGGCCCTCTCTGTAAAAGAGTTCTAGTTTGTCAGTTTTCTCTTAAAAGATAGTTCCTAGAATTGAATGCAATAATGTAGATGTAGTCCCAGGACAGGGAAAAGTGTGGAGTGTATTTCTTCCCTTCATTGGAACATTACATTTATATATGATTGCAGCCCAAGAAGATTCATTTTCAAATTTGTGAAGTCACATTGTTGGGTCAGAGTGCATAAATCTCTCTCTGGCTGACCCCTCTGTGTTTCTAATGTTTGTTGACTTTGCCGTCAATAGGTTGGTGAGAAGTTCCGTGCCCGTTCTTTGAAATTTCCTGGCTTGATATCAGGTTGCACTATGGACTGGTTCAGCCGCTGGCCGAGGGAGGCTCTGATTGCGGTGGCCTCCTATTTCCTTTCTGACTATAATATTGTCTGCTCTAGTGAAATTAAAAGACAAGTTGTAGAAACAATGGGCCTGTTTCATGACATGGTTTCAGAGAGCTGTGAAAGTTATTTCCAAAGGTAAGTGGTATTACATAAGCACTATAGCTATGGAACCACAGCATGTACTCCCAAGAGGAATGCATTGTAACATCCAACAGAAGACTCTTCCTATTGATTGAGCGCAAGGTCCTAGCTGCGTTTTCAGATCTTTCTTGCTTTGATTTTCTAGTGATTATGTATGAAGATATGGCAAGTAAACAAGATTTAAAAATGAACCAGTGTCCGCACATAATACCTTTTTATCCTCCAAGCCTCATCATAACAGATAACTTAATGAATTGTTTTAATTCATCTGCTTAATTTTGTTTAGAAAATGACTTTAATTCATCAACTGTTTAAAATTAGTTTCTTATTCAAATGCATTATTTATTTTGATTAAAGAAGTACAGTTTCTAATTTTTCTTTATTGCCTTATATTAAGGGAGTATTTAGAATTTATATTTGCGTTAGTCTTACCAATGTTTCTATGCTGGATAACTATGAAACAAAATATTAACTGACTGTAGGAAAACCACTCACTAAAAGCATCAATGGTATGTTCATTATGTGAAAGCTGGTGTCAACAGTGCAAAAACACAGCTTTTTCCCCCAAAGCATGACAGTCACTGTATAAGACTGACAAATGGGTCAGCGTAGATCCCCAGAAAAGCTATTCCTGTTTTTCTGCATAGAGAGTTTGGGTAACACTTTCACTGATTTTCAATGAGATTCCTGCTTCACAAAAGTATATTTATTCCAGACCTTTTCCTTTACTTAAAACCATTCCCTGGGGCTGGGCACAGTGGCTCACGCCTATAATCCCAGCACTTTGGGAGGCTGATGCGGGTGGATCACCTGAGGTCAGGAGTTCAAGACCAACCTGGTCAACATGGTGTGACCCCTTCTCTATTAAATATAGAAAAATTAGCTGGGCGTGGTGGCAGGCACCTGCAATCTCAGCTACTCAGGAGGCTGAGGCAGGAGAATCACTTGAACCCAGGAGGGGGAGGTTGCAGTGAGCTGAGATTGCACCACTGTGCTCCAGCCTGGGCGCCAGAGCAAAAACTCCATCTCAAAAAACCAGGCTGGTCTAAAACAAACAAAAAAAAAAACAAAACACAAACATCCCCAGACTACCCTTTTAAATAATTCTGGATAAGATCTCCCAAATTCTCTTGGCGAATCAGTGTGTATTAATTCTTACTGTTGAGATTTTCTTTCTAATTGAACTCCTGCTAATGTCATCTGTGGAAATAAACTTTTACCTTTGTACAGCTACAAAAACCTATTTCTTTACTTTGAAAATTTTGGTATATTTTTCAAATTTTTTATATCTTCTTAGGTTGTTGAATTTTATTCTGAATGTAATATTTTATAACACTTCAATGAAAATCACATATATGCCCAAGATCTTTAAAAAAAAAACCTTAAAAACATTAAAAATTTTCAAAACTCCTTAAGTTCAAATTAATATAAAAGATTAAATAATTTTATAGTACATGAAGAGCTCTTTTTTTGACTTGAGATTCTTCTGTATAAAACTATACCTTTTGTAATAAAGCCCACAATAAAGTGGAAATTTGAGTCAAGTGTAGTTGCCTTGATTTCAAGGCCAATTCAGTGAAATGGGGAGACATTGGTTTGTGCTTTGGTAAACATCCAGCTGATACCCAGCAGTGACGAGGTGTGTAACAAATATTAGTGGAATGAAAATGGATCACAACACAAATTCATTTCAACCACTTATCCCTAATATTTGTCCAGAACCCTAAAGTTTTGCACTGTTGACACCAGCTTTCACATAATATGTTCATATATACGATTTTATTTGATCTTCACAAAATTCTGCGAGGGGTAGAGCAGACATTTTTTCCTCAGTTTTCCAGATGAGAAAACAGAATTGGAGTTAAGGGTGAAGTCAAAGACCCCTCAGGGTGGAAACATCAGACAAATTTAGATCTCTGGGAAACCATGTTCAAGTCCTGTCTTCCTGCTAGTGAATCACTCTACATGATCACACTGGTTTCACTTTAGGAAGGGTGTCATTTTATGGAAGTACCCACGATGATCCAAATGGTCCTTTTAATGTTCTACTTTCAGATACCGCCGAAGAGCACATGTGACTCCCAAATCTTACCTTTCATTTGTAAATGGCTATAAAAACATTTATGCTGAAAAGGTGAAATTCATTAATGAACAAGCTGAACGTATGAATATTGGTAAGAGAAATGGAATCTTATCTTTTTAGGATTTGTTTGATAGGGATCTCAATATTTTGTTTGGTGGACATTTTGTGTGAAAATAAAATGCTCACTTTGTTAGTAGTAATTTTAAAGGATGCCCTTGTGGTTATTTTGACCTGTCAAGAAACCCTGAACAGAAGAATATCTAAACAGAGGTGGCCCATTTTCTCTGTAGAACCATTTCTTTTGGCTCTTTCAACTCTGAGTGCTCTGTGCTAAGTCACTGAGGCATGGCTGGCAGATGGGGAAAAGCCAGCTTTTGGGAATGGACAACAATTTCAGTTTTTGGTTTTATTTTGATTTGCCTTGATTTGCGTAAACTTTGCCATGTTAATATTCCCTACGTTTCTAATAAAGGAAAAGGCAAAATAGAAAGAAAAACAAATAAAAAGAGTGTGTGTACCTAAGCAAGAGTTTTCCAAATGTTTGGTATATGTAGTATAACTAGCAAAAGTAAACATTGGAACAGATTTTATGTCCAGAAACCATGCGGCCCAAACAATCTAAAACACCTTAGCTCTTATTTTCCAAGTTCTAAATAAAACTTGCAGGGCTGGGTGCGCTGGCTCATGCCTTTAATTTTAGCACTTTGGCAGGCCAAGGCAAGCAGATCACTTGAGCCCAGGAGTTCAAGACCAGCCTGGGCAACGTGGTGAAACCCTATCTCTACAAAAGTATAAAAATTAGTCAGGCATGGTGATGGTACATGCTTGTAGTCCCAGCTACTTGAGAGGCTGAGGTGGGAGGATCACTTGAGCCAAGGAGATCAAGGCTGCAGTGAGCAGAGATTATACCACTACACTCCAGCCTAGGTGACAGAGTGGGACCCTGTCTCCAGCAAAAACAAAACAAAACAAAAAACACTCAGTCACATAGCATAACTGAGCACCAAGATCTGTGAAGTCATACTGATGATAGAAGACTGTGAAAGAAATCTTCTGTGATTTGCTCATGATTCAGCCTCTTGTAGCTTTCCTATGTGATGCTTTAGATCAGAAGTGTGCTGAAATAGATTCATACTGGCTTTTGAGAACATAATGTTAAATTTTTAGTAATTTTGTGATCTGCTTATTAAACACAACCTTTATTAAAAATTAACTCATGTATACTTACAATTAAATAATTTGTTTTTAAAATATAGGCAATAAATGCTCAAACTCATCCCTTCTTAGTTTTACACTTTTTTTTTTTTTTGAGACAAAGTTTTGTTCTGTCACCCAGGCTGGAGTGCAATGGTGCGATCTTGGCTCACTGCAACTTCCACCTCCCAGGTTCAAGCAGTTCTCCTGCCTCAGCCTCCCAAGTAGCTGGGATTACAGGCATGCACCACCACGCCCAGCTTATTTTGTATTTTCAGTAGAGATGGGGTTTTGCTATGTTGGTCAGGCTGGTTTCAAATTCTGAACATCAGGAGTGCTGAAATTACAGGGGTGAGCCACCGCGTCCGGCCTACTCTGTTTTCTCATATCAATGTTCTCAAGTTTATTTACTTCTGTCTGTATGGTAGGAATATTATGTATCAGTGTGCTACTGGGAATCTTGTGGTAGCTTGAAATAAGCCATGGTTGGAGTGTTTACACTACAGAAATTGGACAATATACAAATGAGGGCTTCCCCTTCCCCCAGTGACCCAGATGTTAAATATTTACCAACATACCACTACCTAGAGCCCAATGGAATGTGAGCAATTCAGTTAACCAGTTCTTTTTCTGTATAGTACTAAAAGTTGCACCCTGTTACATAAGTTTTCACAGTTACTTTCATTTTTATAGCAAAGAGAACCTCTGCAATGTCAATATATTTTCTATCTCATTTGCCACCTCAGCTGCAACGTGATTTAAAGGCAAAAAATGATAGCTATAAACAGTTAACAAAGCCAAAGAGAGCATAAATTTGTCAAATAAGTTTCTTAGCTAAACTAATCTTATTCAATATGATACTGTAACTTTCCCTTAAATGTAGCTACGTGATATTCTTCAGTCAGAGCTATTTTCTCTGCCCTCCTGTTGAAACTCAGAAATATGGTCAGTATTGTTGCTCTTAAAATATGTATATTTTGGGAAAAAAAGATATGTATATTTTTAAAGTTTTGTCTACAAATACTGTCTTGTGTTTGCTATATTACATGTACAGTGCCTTATAAATAGTAAATGTTGAATAAATATTTGATGAAGTGATATACATATACTCAGCAAAAGTATATATATGTGTATTTGTAAAGGTCTTGATAAGCTAATGGAGGCAAGTGAATCTGTTGCTAAACTCTCTCAGGATCTTGCAGTAAAGGAGAAGGAATTGGCAGTGGCTTCCGTAAAAGCAGATGAAGTGAGTTTGCATTTATTTTATCACTGATAAGGAATATTTTTCATATTAAAAAGCATTATTTTAAAATGGTATAAAAAACAAGCAAGGTATAAACCTATGGACAATTCCTGGTAAGATAATGTTCACAAAGGCCATTAGACATTTTTGTTTATCTTATACCAGCATATGTATCTAAACTATTAGTTTCACTACTTGGCCTAAGACGATTATTTCTTCTCTCACTCCGCCTGTCTCTCTTGTTCTTTTTCATTTGTTTATGAAATTTCTGATTGACTATGAGTTATATTTGGTCTTCTCTTTAAGGTCCCTGTATGTTCCAGGTTTCTGAGATGGCCCAAATCTCACTTACAGTTTGTGTCAAAGAGGGAAAAACATAAGAAGAAGAGTTGATGGAGTTTTTTTTTTTTTTTTTTTTTTTGGGGTCTCTTATTGTCTCCTGGGCTGGAGTGCAATGGCGGGATCTCGGCTCACTGCAACCGCCTCTTGGTTCAAACGATTCTCCTGCCTCAGCCTCCTGAGTAGCTGGGATTACAGGTGTGCACCACCATGCCCAGCTAATTTTTTGTATTTTAGTAGAGGCAGGTTTCACCATGTTGGCCAGTATGGTCTTGATCTCCTGACCTTGTGATTTGCCTGCCTCGGCCTTCCAAGGTGCTGGGATTACAGGTGTGAGCCACTGTGCCTGGCCTTTTTTTAGGAAAAAAAGGAAAGAGAAAGAAAGGAAGGAGGGAAGGAAGGAAGGAAGGAAAGAAGGAAGGAAGGAAGGAAGGAAGGAAGGAAGGAAGGAAGGAAGGAAGGAA